GAATAAGGTGCATGTTTTGGTATCAGCAGTTTGATTATTCTGAGTAAAATCACTATATATTAACACTTCCAGAAAAGAAAGAGTAAAATATATTTTTCTGCAGTATTATATTTGTTCTTTTAGGTTACTTGACAACTAAAATCCAGGAAGATATGTCATGAGTGCTTGTAAGATATTTATGCTAAAAAGGTTTTATCATACAGCAAATGAAATGTTTATTTGAATAAAAATGATAAAATCGCCCGCATCACCCGCTGTAAACTGGCAGAAATTGAAACTAATATATGGAAGCAACATATATCTGTTTTGTGAATCAGAATGTGAGGAAATTGAATCCAAAGAATGTTCTTGTGATAGAAATGAGCTTACACAAGGATTTTGTTTTGATGGAGAGCAATGATGTATTAATTAAAGGGAAAACCTTTCATTTTTTCTACATATTAAAAGCTTAAGATCCAAAAAGTCAAATAGTGCTATATAATTTTAAAGCATTGTATATGTTAACCTATGCAAGAATTAGGCAACCTTCATCACTCCAGATGTTGTGGACTACATCTTCTCTGATGCTGTTCCAGCATTATGGCTTGAAGAGCATGATGGAAGATGTAGTCCTCTAACATCTGGAGTAACAAAGGTTGCCTACCCCAGACTAATGGGATGGTTACTTGAATATGACTATTGGACAGTGAATCACTTGTTTCACATCTGTTTTTTTACTTAAAAGATGGGTAGGTATATTTTGGGACATTGGGTAATATGTGATAATAGGTAATAAGTGATCTTACCTTCCTTTTCTCATGGACCCATAAATGGCCTGGACTGAACAAAAAGCACCACACTAAAAAGGGACTGTAAAGTATTTTTAAGTGAAGAAAAATTCCAATTTGGAATTTTGAGGATTTTTTCTGATTCATTTTGTAGCAGATTTACAACATTCTTGTAACTTACAGTTGCAAGAAAAAGTATGTGAACCCTTTGGAATGATATGGATTTCTGCACAAATTGGTCATAAAATGTGATCTGATCATCATCTAAGTCACAACAATAGACAATCACAGCCTGCTTAAATTAATAACACACAAAAAATGAAATGTTGCCATGTTTTTATTGAATACACCATGTAAACATTCACAGTGCAGGTGGAAAAAGTATGTGAACCCTTGGACTTAATAACTGGTTGAACCTCCTTTGGCAAAAATAACTTCAACCAAACGTTCCCTGTAGTTGCAGATCAGACGTGCACAACAGTCACGAGTAATTCTTGACCATTCCTCTTTACAGAACTGTTTCAGTTCAGCAATATTCTTGGGATGTCTGGTGTGAATCGCTTTCTTGTGGTCATGCCACATCATCTCAATCAGGTTGAGGTCAGGACTCTGACTGGGCCACTTCAGAAGGTGTATTTTCTTCTGTTTAAGCCATTCTGTTGTTGATTTACTTCTATGCTTTGGGTCATTGTCCTGTTGCGACACCCATCTTCTGTTGAGCTTCAGCTGGGCCCCCCCTACCCTGACCCTCTCCCCCCTGAACATGGGTCCCCCTGACACATACATACAAACACATACACACAGACACACACCCCCGACAGACACATACATACATACACACTTACAGATACATACACACATGCAGACACATACATACAGACAGACACACACACACACACACATACAGAGACACACACACATACAGAGACACACACACACACATACATACACAAAATGTTTCCTACCTTGTGTGACTTTCTCTGGGGGGGTGTTTCCTGTTTCCTCCCACGCGGGCACTCTGTATGCAGGGAGGAGTGAGTCATTGATGTAATCACAGGGGGCCCGGGCGCGCTGTTAAAGCGCCTAGCGCAGACCGGGCCCCCTGATAATCCATGTCCATCGGGTGGCCCTGACAGCATGGGCCACCCGATGGACCCCTTAACATACGGCCCTGGCAGTTTGCCGCACGGTCCGGGGCCGCAAACGTGGAAGGTGGTATCGAGTCGCGTGGGTCCACAGGGCGGCTGGGCCCTCTGGAGTGCCGGGCCCGGTCGCAGCTGCAACCCCTGTGACCACGGTACATATCCCACTGTAGGTAACATTCAGACAGGTTTTCTGATTGATACATACTTTCATTTATTAGATTTTATAAGCACTCTTTTTGATATTCCCTAAAAAAGTTATTTTCTTATGCTTTATTTTATTCTATCTTTTATGAAGGAGCGCTCACACTTGACTCTCAGTTAAATATTTTTAAGTGGAAAATTTGTTACCAATATGGCGTAAGAATTACTAATTGAAAGATATATTTTTAACTGCTCTCTTGACAGGTAAATGATTACTTATACATGTGATAAATCAGAAGATAGTATTCCAAAGTTTTAAATCACTTCAATGTCTTCTATTTCTTACTTCATAAACGTGTAAGTTTTAGGAGACATAAGCACTTTTATAATGCTTCTGCACCCTCCAAGTTGTCAATCAAACAGTTCTTATGCAAGGATGAAATGAGAGGGTCTTGTACACAAGCATTGATTTCTATACTTTACCATGTGTGTATCCTATCCTTGAAGTGTATTATGAGAAAACCTAGACATCTTCACCTCCAGTGTCTACCATATCTTTGTTTGGCTAAACACCCAAAAAAGTCTCTGCCCCATTATATTGCCATGTATAAATCAGTCATTTTATGCTCCAATATTAAGTAAGGATGTGCAAAGCTATTATTTTTTTGTTTTGTTTTTTGTATTAGCTTTATTAACCATAGTTTTGTAATCATGTCTAACCAGTATATACGTGGGTGGGACTGCCCCAGTCAGAAATACATTTCTCAGCTGAACTGCTTTCAGTGTAACCCATTCAATAAACAAACTCTCTAAAAACCTGCCTAGTGTGGTTTGACTTTGTTTGCAGCCCATGAATCATTAACAAGTGATGTTTGAAGTTGGATCCCAACATCCTGAAATTAGGTCAAGTGGTATCATCTGGACCGCAATCTGCCCCAGTCAGAAATACATTTCTCAGCTGAACTGCTTTCAGTGTAACCCATTCAATAAACAAACTCTCTAAAAACCTGCCTAGTGTGGTTTGACTTTGTTTGCAGCCCATGAATCATTAACAAGTGATGTTTGAAGTTGGATCCCAACATCCTGAAATTAGGTCAAGTGGTATCATCTGGACCGCAATTAAAAAAAATGGTTATCTGAGAGGTAGGCCACCTTTTGAAACAGCTTTAGGTCACCTTTTACAACAGCTTCAGTTTATAGCATGGAGTGTATTTGGGTAAAGGGTTAACTTCTTGAAATTCTGGGTGATGTGATCCTACATTTTTATTGATATAAGATTAATGTTAAAAAAATGAATGTTGATATTATGGGCAGATGTTAAATGTAGCAGTTGTTTGTAGTGTTGATTTTTTGTGTGTCCTGGATTGTTGTTAATACCTTTGTAGTAAATTGTCTCAAATTTCTCAGACCTATGTAGGTCCTGTAGGACAGTGCATGACTGGACTATATTTGTGTTAGCAGAAATACATCTTTGTAAACTCTAGGTAATACCTGAGCTATCTGTATGTTAAGCAAAGGGAACATTTGTAAACCTAGGGTTACTTTGTTTGCCTGCACTGACAGAATTCTGCAAAGAGAGCCTTTTGTAAGCCCAGACTAAGTGGAATTGGGTTATCTATGTTTGTAGCAAGATAATAGAAACGGAAACAGGAGTAAAGCTTCAGAAGCTGCAAAATGGGACGCAATTCCAATAAGGGTTTTCCCAATGGTAAATCCTGTGTGGACAAAAGGATCCCTAGCAGCATGTGAATTGACACTACAGTCCATTTATAATCAATATCATGATTAATGAATATAGACTACATTACTGTAATGTGGGAGGTTTTAAATTATAGTAGACAAGACCGATCAGGCTGAGTGGTTGGTGTATTTGCAATGATATATCTAAAACGAGAAATACATAACTCCTTAATTATTAAAGGAACACTATAGTCACCTAAATTACTTTAGCTAAATAAAGCAGTTTTAGTGTTGCATTCCCCTGCAATTTCACTGCTCAATTCACTGTCACTTTGTTTCTGTTTATGCAGCCCTAGCCACACCTCCCCTGGCTATGATTGACAGAGCCTGCATTGAAAAAAAAAAAAACTGGTTTCACTTTCAAACAGATGTAATTTACCTTAAATAATTGTATCTCAATCTCTAAATTGAACTTTAATCACATACAGGAGGCTCTTGCAGGGTCTAGCAAGCTATTAACATAGCAGGGGATAAGAAAATCTTAATTAAACAGAACTTGCAATAAAGAAAGCCTAAATAGGGCTCTCTTTACAGGAAGTGTTTATGGAAGGCTGTGCAAGTCACATGCAGGGAGGTGTGACTAGGGTTCATAAACAAAGGGATTTAACTCCTAAATGGCATAGGATTGAGCAGTGAGGCTGCAGGGGCATGTTCTATATACCAAAACCGCTTCATTAAGCTAAAGTGGTTCAGGTGACTATAGTGTCCCTTTAATGTTTTCTACAGAGCCCAGGAGAGAGCCAAGTAAAAGAAATAGATGAAAATGTATACCGAATGGAACTGTTGCAATATCTAAAAATTGCATGAATTGTAGATTTATTTCATATAAATGCAGTGTGCAAGTGTGACATTAAATGTTTGATATATTTTTCTGGTACCCATTGTATAAGCAGCATGTATGTAGATATGTTTGGAATTTATGTGATTAAACATAGAGTGACTCTATTACTCTATAGAGTGGCATTATTGCTGTAGAGACAAATTCATAGGGGCTATATCTTTCCATTATTGCCTCACCCTGCTGGTGTTTTTTTCTACTATTAATCCCTTTTCCTCTATGTTTGCTTCTGATGTAAATGGATATTAATAGTGATGTCCCGAACTGTTGGCCAAACGGTTCGCGAACGGTTCGCCACGAACGGTTCGCCACGAACGGTTTGTCGTGGACTCATCATTGAGTAAACTTTGACCCTGTACCTCACAGTCAGCAGACACATTCCAGCCAATCAGCAGCAGACCCTCCCTCCCAGACCCTCCCACCTGCTGGACAGCATCCATTGTGAAGCTGCATTCTTAGTGAGCTGTCCAGGAGGTGGGAGGGTCTGGGAGGGAGGGTCTGCTGCTGATTGGCTGGAATGTGTCTGCTGACTGTTAGGTACAGGGTCAAAGTTTACTCAATGATGAGTCCGCGGTGAACCGTTCGTGGCGAACCGTTCGCGAACCGTTCAGCGAACAGTTCGGGACATCACTAGATACTAACTTTATTTGGCCTTATTTGGATATTTGTTTATTTTTTGTAGAAACTGCAAGCTTTGATTTCTTTGCTACTGTCATTAGCCTTACACCAAATAACATGTATTAAAGGACCAGTCCACAACCCAAACGGGTTTGTTTTCTTGGCACTGGTGAATCCCTTTAAGGTTTTAAAATTGGTCTATTTATAAAAAATATACATATTTTTCCTAATGTTTGTTAAGATGCCACAAGTTTAGGCAAAGGAAGCAAAAAGACGGTCCCACAAGGTTGCTGTTTAACACAATCACGTTAAAGAGGGGATGTGATAGCATTATACAATCTATTCTGGGCCAATACAAACCATTGTCTGTAGGACAGAACAATATATACATCAGACACAAGGCCACACATTTAGACTGGAAGAAAAGATATTTAGTCTAAAGCAAAGGAAAACTTTTTTTTATAATAAGTACAATAAGGATGTGGAAGGAGGTAATTGTATCAGTGTCTGTACATATGTGTAAATGGCAACTGGATGAATACTTGCAAATACATAATATTCAGGGATATACATTTTAATAGGTGTGGTTAATAGCTTTTTGATCCAAGTAGAGATCTGACTGCCATTCTGGGATCAAGAAAGAATTGTTTTCCAAGTTAGTTGAAAAATTTGAAAGTGCTTCAAACTGTTTTTTTTCTTTGGATCAACAACAATAACAGATATAAGAAAAGTTGAACTTGATGGATGTCTCTTTTCAGAGAAGATGAAATTAGGAAGCAGTGCCTTTATGTTAAATAAGATGAAATTATGAAGCAGTGCTATGAACCTATTTATCTCTGTTTTTGGCATGTCTCTTTTCAGCTTATGTGACTATGTAACTGTGTAACCATTTTTTATGCATTTTAGTTGTTTCCTAATTGGAGTGGTATTGTTTTTATAGAATACTTTCATGTATCCTTAAACTAATTTTGTAAAAGTGCAGCTAACATTTGTACCCATCTTTTTCTGAAAACAACACAAATGTTTCCGCAATCAAGTTTGGTACGTGACTTTTTTTTTCTGTTTGGGGCTTAAGGTAAGAATATAAAATATAGTTATTGTTTAACTTTTATCCAGCATTCTCTCAGTAAATCAAATATCCATAAATAAAACTCTTATATGACAAAGAACGCCTGGTTGCTACCTATAAACACTGGGAACAAATATCCACTAATGTCTAATACCCAGGACATTAATGAAATTATGTAACCTATTCGAAATTTACAATTCAGCTATTTGTGTATTAAGCATAATCACTTATTTTTTTTTTTTACATGCAATGTGAATAAGAGCTGTGAGATGTGGACTAGACTTTTTTGTCAGCTATGGAGAAACTTTTTGAGTGATAGCTGATTGTACAAGGTAACACGGATTACGTTCTTTTACTTCATATGAATTTTTACCATAAAATGCCCTTGATGTGAAATACGCTCCATTGTTATTTGTCATAGAGCAGGATTTGTCTGTGATATTTGATGTATCATTACAATAAGAAACATTTCTCACAATATTTCAGAGTTCACATACTGAGTGTAGCCCTGTGATTGACTTGATTTATGGGTCATCGACCAATGATCTTGCTCTTCTGCAATTTTACTGAGATATTGTTTGTGACATTTTTCGAAGGCTTTTAGAAGCTTTTCAGCCTGAGAACTTTAAAAGGAAAACAGCATCAAATCAGACTTTAGACAAATATCTATTTTACTCTAATCATAACACACTCAGTATTAAGAAGTAGACTTGAGCAGGGTGGAACAATTTAGTTTGCCTGAACCACTTGGGCAGAAATAGTTTATTGTAGGATGGCAGGATTTGGGAAGGCAATTCAGGCAGCATGAAATATTGTGACTATGACTGTACTGACATTCAATAACAGTTACAGCATTGCCTGGCCTAATAGCTATGCAACATGAGGCATTTATGCAATGCCAATTCTGAGTTGCCAAAATTAGATTACCATATATCTGTAGGAAAAAATATATAGAAAGTAAGAGAACTTTTTAAAAATTAATGACTGTATTTTTCCTTTTTGCTATGTTAAAATAGAAAGCATGGAACATTTCAAGTTCCAAATAGGAGAGTAATCAAAAAATGAAAAGAAAAAATCTATTGATCACCCACTCCCCCTTTCCGCCATGGTGGATCTTCACATACATTCAGTCTGTAGCATCAGTGACCATCCTTCATTGCCAAAATAAGGAACCCTATCAGGTTTTTTAAGGTGTATATGCAGAGGTAACAGGTACAGCAAGACTCAGGAAGAACAAAATCACTAAAATGAAAGACATTTTACAAAAAGGGCAGCAGGAGCGGCAGCAGTAATATAATGAATTAATTTTTTTTTAATGAGGTGGGGAAGACCTCTTTTTTCTTGATCCTACCTCAAGATTTAGCTAGCCTTTAGAACTTTAGAAAATGCTTGGCAATTTTCCTCTAACACTTTAGTATGGTTTAAGTACGACAACCATACCCAGGCACTGTGGGCTGCCGCCAATGTGCCACCAAGGAAAGAAAGACATGCTGGCCAGTAGAATCACTCCATAAATCTGTACATTTAGGCAGTTGGTTTTGTTGGGTTGTTGTTTTGACATGACTCTGGAATGATTTCCAACAATATATATTAGAACAGGCTTATGGACACTTTTATGGGATGATGAGGAATCTAATTGTCTCTGTACAACCTGCTTCTGACTTGAAGCATGAGTCGTACATTAACATTCCCCATGATCTGCCTAGAGTTTTAGGTTGTGGAGAAGGTATTGCTGTTGCTGCTTTTGAATGAATGGATGAATGAAGCAGGCTATCTCTCAAAATCTCAAAATTTGTGTATGTTCTAACATGGGACTAGCTTGGGAAGAGAAACTTTGGAGTGACGGCTTGGAAATTGGGACTTTTGCCAGTCACCTAATCAGCCCAAATTCCGTAGAATTGCAGTTAAGCCAGTGTCTAACATACACTGATATCAGCATTAGAAAATAGTTTTATATAAACATGGCTACTTAAAGGGACACTGTAGGCACTGTATCTGCTTCATCTCATTAAACTGGTTATAGTGTATGGAGTCCCCTGGTGCCATCATTTCTTTCAGCATTAAACAGTTTTTAATGTTGTAATGTTTCAATGCTAAACAAGAGACCACGGGAGTCCATCCCCTCTGTGCTGCTTTAGCTAATAAGGAAGTATTACCCTGAGCAGCAATGAGCAGCTGTGATTCGCTGAGAGTGTCAGCTGACTGCTTTTAACCTGTCAGAGCTCCAACTGACGGTATGAATGGGTATGACAACAAGGAAGTGTGTAATCTCTGCCTTAGCTACACATACAGAAGGGGCCGGACTGTGGGTGGCCAGGGACTCTTATTTTGTGGCATACTGCACAAACATGGTGCAACACTGAATGGAGGGACAGTGCCAGGGCACTCCAGGCACTATAACCAATTCAAAGAGACAAAGTGGTTATAGTGACTACATTGTCCCTTTAATTGTTTATTGAGAGCATATGTAGTTTTATTGAATTTCATTCAAATATAGTAATGAAACCTTGAGACTTGACTTGCAAAATCTCTGTTTACAAAAATAAAGCCCTGTGGCAGATTAACTTTATAGACCCCATGTAATTATGATCTATAAGTCTAGGTATCAGGGGGATCTTGTACTGTATGTGTAATCTCTTATTGTTTATGGTATTTATAACTTTAACATTTCTGTTAATATAAATCTGTCGTTATGTTATTGTTGTAATTATCTCAAGGGAGACAACAGCCATACATAGATCCTAGAATAGTACTTTTAAGTAGGTGGTGATTAACATGTAAAATATTATGTAACCTTAGTCTGTTATCATTTAAACATATAATTTTGCATGGATTCATGATACTGTTCATGCACTTGTAATTAGCATACATAATTAAGCATATAATACACCAACATGCATTATAAGGACATTTTATGTAAGCAGATTGTGTATTTACTTTTAACATATTTGCAAGTTGAATTTGGATGATGTCCCTCCTTTTCTGTAGCCATCAACATATTTTTTTCTCCTTAACACCTTGCCTTAACAACCCTGGGATGGTTTCTGACAGTTTGTGCAGAAATTCTTTGGTTATGCAAACCGATTGATGCAGCAGCTGTCTGGGTTGCTGGTCTCAGACCATCTTGGAGGTGAAGATGATGGATGTGGAGGTCCTAGGCTGGTGAGGTTACATGTGGTCTGTAGTTGTGAGGCCTACAGACCACGCTAAATTCTCTGAAATGCCTTTGGAGACAGCTTATGGTAGAGAAATGAACATTCAATTAATGGGCAACAGCTCTGGTGGACATTGCTGCAGTCAGCATGCCCATTGCTTGCTCCCTCAAAACTTGCGACATTTGTGGCATTGTGCTGTGTGATTAAACTGCACATTTTAGAGTGGCCTTTTATTGTGACCAGTCTATGTCTACACCTGTTCAATAATCATGCTGTCTAATCAGCATCTTGATATGCCACACCTGTGAGGTAGATGGATTATCTCAGGAAAGGAGAAGTGCTCACTAACACAGATTTAGACAGATTTGTGAACAATATTTGAAAGAAAGAGGCTTTTTGTGTGTGACGAGAGCAATCTCGCCACATTGCATTGGAGAAGCCTGGTTGCCCACCTGCTGCCTTTGGACTATGGCCCCATGTTAAAAGACATCTTTTTTTCCCTGCAGAAAAGACTTATTCGTGCTTTTCTGCCGGGTGTTCGGTAGATTCAATCTATCGAACAACCGCACGAATGACTAGACCACCTGGGAGCTGGAGTGTGCCAGCAATTAGCCTCCCTGAAGCTGCGGTTAACCGCAGCTTAATTGACGAATGCTGGGTGGCCGCCATTCATATCCCGAACAC